ATAAGCAAAAGTCACTATCTATACAGGAAAAGGGTGAATTTCCATGGTCCGGCACCGGTCAGGTCCCGAGGTTGCCGGACTACAGAGGTACAACCTGTACTTAATACCAGTAAAACACCCGAGTATAAAGAGAAAAACAAAACCAGTTATAACCTAAATTATTAAATAATGTATTATGGAATACAGTAATGTAATGTACAGTCAGCAAAAAAAATATAATTCGGCACCCTTTGGTCTGATGGCCTCTGCAACGATCACTGACTGAGGCCATGTTAATTTAGTATGGTTGGTATTTCTGGTTGTATGATGTATTGTATAACCAGTATGATGTATTTTTTTTATATCACATATAGTTAATACAGAGAATTTAACAGGAATCACCCACGTAAATGAGTGTTGTTCAGAATTCTTGGTCCGGTGTATCATATTGCTAACACCATAAAAGGTGCAAGAATTTTTTTATTTTTGACTGTACACAAATGCATAGAATACTAACATAAATTAGCATATCTGTTCTCCTCCTCAAAGGACATTACTTCAATTTATTTGCAGTGGTCTACACTGCTCTTGAGCCCTTTGTGCTATCACCCGAGGGGAGTTACACGGAAACTTCTGGCAACTCCTCTTCGGTTCCATACTGAAAAATCCAGTCCTCGATTATTTAATAGTACGGAGTGCGGCCTCAGTTTAGAAGCTGAATATGTTCCTGAAAATGTGTTTGTACAGTAGAACGTCGATTTAAAGCGATTCAATTTAAGATTATTGATTTAAATCGTCACCCACAATTAAGGACAATGTTTTAATTTAAAGCGAATCTTAACTTTTTTGCGCGAGTCAATCTGGCGCATCATATTTAAAATTTCCCTCTAATGTTTCTCTGGGCACGTTACACTGTCCTTAGGCCAAAGTTGTACTCGAAATAATGTACTAAATGATTACTAAAATTTTTGTCTAATGCAAACTGTAGCATGATTATTGTATACGTATTCAAATTAATCATTATACTGTATTATCTTCTCTCCGGTCACTTCTGTGACATTTTATAAACAAAAAACAAAAACTCAATCTAAAGGACATAAATAAACAAATTAATACTTCACTAGACCTTTAGCCCCAACTGTCAAACATGTCACTGTCACCTCCCCCCATCTTCCCAGCCAGGGTTGGGTGATTATAGGCATATAGTTTTTATCTTGTTTAATATCACAGACTAAAGTTAGGAGAATATAATTTCCATTACTAGAATTCTTGCAAGACAGTGAATAATTTGAAAATAAACGTCATATATTTTGCACAAGAGATAAAATTTTTAGCCCTTTGTAATAAAATTAATTAAAACTAAAATGTCTAATGTGAACTATAGCATGTATATATTCAAACTAATCACTATCTTATAAGAATTCCAGCAATGTTAATTATATTCTCCCAGGTCAGTTCAGTGACATTTTATAAGAGAAAAACTTAGTCACTCTTAAGGACAGATAAATAAATAAGCACTAGACCTTGGCATCAACTGTCAAACATATCACCTCACCTCCCTCCCTCCCGACCACCTTCCCAGCCAGTAAACAGACCATTTCACATCCCATAATTTTAGCTGTGTTGATTTATGAGTGTTTGTTTTAACATAATACTACAAAAAACAATGTTTTGTTTATTCTAGGAGATGGGCTGAGGTGCATCTGGGTAGACTCTCAGTCTTTTTAGTATTTTATGTTTCTCTCAAGTACCAAACTAAATTATTCCATTGAAACAAAACTTTGATTTAATGCGAATTCGCTTTAAAGCGACATCTCTTGGAACGAATCTCGTGTTATATCAACATTCTACTATACAGTAATGGGAAAATACTCTCACAAATAATCAGAAACAAATGTATATTATTAATGTTGAGTTTACCCGCAAGTCTACACCGTGCTTTGTTATTAATAAAGCAATAAAGCATGGAGTAGACTTGAGGGTAGACTCAACATTTTTATAACTACATTTATTTCTGATTATTTATGAGAGTATTTTACCATTATTATTTATTTGTATTTGTTTTGTGTGTGTGTCTAAACACACACACATATATATATATATATATATATATATATATATATATATATATATATATATATATATATATATATATATATATATATATATATATACACACAGTTAACCCTCACTTTACGCGGTTAATGTAACCCGGAGGGTACCGCGGAAAGCGAGGAACGCGTAAAGTGAATAACATAACATATGGGATTAATTGAAATGGAGTCCAGGCCGATCCCCAAACTCCACTTTTGACGACACATAACTATGTTGCAGTAAAAATTTTATCTTAACTTTATGATGGTATGAAAAAACAAGTAATATAGAAGAGGTTAGGTTAGGAAAGATAAAGGTTAACATAGGAAAAATAAAGGTTAGGTTAAAAAACTAAAAATTTTGTGTAACACTTACGGTAGTAGAAGAGATGGGTCGGCATACGGGGATGGAGGCTGGTTCCGAGGCAGAGGGCAGATTACTGGCCCTCAAGTGAATCACCATTACTAGGTGAATCATCATCACTGTCACTTACAGTTGTCAGGGCTTCCCTGACAAATCCCTCAAAGTCAACTTCACTGTCACTATCACTGGCTTGGGCTGGCTGTGGTGGGTTGCGGGTGAAGAAATCTGTTATGCTTTGCTGACGGCTGGCGTTGATGTTGTCGTGATACACCGTGATGTACGGCTCCATAGCCTGCACCAGCCGGTTATGGAAGACTTCATAGCGGTCATCGTCATTGTCGCTGGAAAGGACAGACTTAATTTTCTCTGCAAACTCCATGACACACTTAATATCACTATGACTTAAACTGTGTTCTTCGGAGACTGACGCACCTTCTTCCTCCTCTTCACTGGCGTGTTCTTCTTCCATCATCTCGTCGGCAGTCACTTCAGAATCTCTGATCACCTCCAGGATGTCGTCGTTGGTGGTCTCGGAGAAGCCTGGAACTGTAACAGTCTGCGCAGCTTCTCTGGCAAGGTCCACTGCTACTGCAACATTCTGAACCTCACCAGTCACAGATTGACTCCTCCTCTCACCTGGTATTCCATGCAACACATGTCTCCATGCGTGACGAATTGTAGCAATAGACAGCTGATCCCATGACTCCACCAAGATGTCCACAGCTTTCTTGATGTTAAATACTCTCCAGAATTGTTTGAAGAGTATTTTTTGCTGTTCTAACCGTTGTTCCTCATCTTCGTCGCTCTGCTATCGGTGGTGGTGTCACTCAGGTCACGCAACTCTTCCCTGGTGTTGGTGTAGTCGTTCAGGAGCTGGAATTTTTTTGTTGAGAATGCAGCTTTCACATTGCAAATCAACTCCTGGTCCATGGGCTGGATTAAAGACGTAGTGTTGGGAGGAAGGAAGACCACTTTTACGTTGGGGTGACGATCTAACAGTTGGGGCGAGTGTCCTGGTGCGTTGTCCAGCAGCAACAAAATATTAAATGGGACATTCTGTTGCTCACAGAATTTCTTTACATCGGGAACAAAACAGTCATCAAACCAGGAGAGGGACAGTGTAGAGAACATCCATGCCTTACGTGCTGTCAGCCAGTGGACACTTAGTTTGGTCATGTCCATGGTTTTGTAGGCATGCGGCTTGCGTGCTGTGTGGATCACCGATAACTTGAGCTTACAGGTACCGGAGGCATTGGTGGTAAACAGGACGGTGATGCGTTCCTTCTGCATTTTCCGGCCCCGAATCCTGCTGGCATTCTTCACAATGTAGGACTTGGAAGGTAGTTTTCTCCAGAAAAGACCAGATTCGTCCATGTTAAACACCTGGTCGTCATTGTACTGTCCTTCCTACATAATCTCACGTAAAAACGGAGGAAATTCCCGAGCCGCAGCACGATCAGCACTCGCTTCTTCACCACCAATGTTTATATTGGTGATCTTGTTCCGGATCTTAAACCTCTGTAACCACCCAGAGGAAGCGTTAAAGGATTTGGGCTCTGTAATTCCCATCTTTCGTGCCACTGCCATGTACAGTTCACGTGCGTAGTCCTTAACAGAGCGCGTGTCGACCGCCATGTTCCGTCGCGCCTGACGCACCAAGTACCTCACAAGTAATTTTTCTGTCTTGAGAAGCACCTGGTTGTGAAAATACTTAATCATAGAAGCACCTGTAGACTTTGTGATCTTCATGTGCTCCTTTATCTTGGCTGAATCCTTCTTTATAGTCCGGATCGTAGATTCGTTGACGCCATGCTGGCGCGCGAGATCAACTTGCCGTGTTCCTTTCTCCAAATCTTGAATAATTTGGTACTTCACCTCGTAGCTTAAGGAACGTCGTGTCCTCTTTGGCTTAGTGCCGCTGGGTCCAGGTAAGGAAAGGTTTTTCTCTGGGGGTGGTGGTCCGGCGGAAGCCATTTTACGGAACAATGGATGCGCGTTAATACGGAGTGGCCTTGAGGGATGAGACTGTCGCGGCTAGGTCAAGCGTCGTCTCTCCTCCCTCCCTCCCTGCCCCGGGTGGACACGTCATAATACTTTAAGCCAATTACAGCTAGCAGCAGAGGAGGGTAGGGATGCATGGCCAATCAAAGGTCTTGTACGTCATATGACGTCAGTGATAACGCAACAAAGACACACTGCGCAACCTTACCGCGCCGCTTGCCCAAGCGGAGGGAGGAGGAGGAGGGAGGAGGAGGGAGAGGCAGGCAGGCGGGTGGCGCGTGGGGCAAATCTAAAAATAGCGTCGCGCCGGACACTCTCCGCGGAATGGCGTTCGCGACCGCGAAATGTGAAAATGTTAGGTTCTGGCAAGGCACCGCGGTAACGGTGAAACGCGGATTGCGGGACCGCTTAATGTGAGACCAACTGTATGCGCTGATAGTTTAGTGTGCGTCTCCTCAGTTTGCTGGGATTTAATGAAACTTTATTAAAAATATACACCTGGAGATGGACTTACATTGCACTATATTTTGAGATAGTGAATCAGATAGCTATTATACAATCTATAAAAATTTTTACTTGTCCAGGTAATAGACCACTATGAAAATCCCCGCAATGTGGGTTCCATGGACAAGAATGACACTACTGTTGGAACAGGCCTGGTGGGAGCCCCAGCCTGTGGTGATGTCATGAAGCTTCAGATCAAGGTGGATGTTGATGGGATGATAACTGAAGCCAAATTCAAAACATTTGGATGTGGCTCAGCAATTGCCTCATCATCTCTTGCAACAGAATGGGTTAAAGGCAAAACAGTGAGTTTTTTTTTATTAACCACTCTATTCTCTTTTTTTATTTGCTATTGAAACTTGAGTAGATGTAGCAAAGAGATTCGCACAATATTTATCTTATTTTTTCTACATCATGAATTAATAAAACTTGTGCATGTAAGAGAGAGAACAAATTAGATTATTTGTTTTTTAAGATTAGAAAGGTTGAACCTGTAATGAGGCAAAACAAAGATCTGTTATTGGAAACAAAGGACAAGAAGTGGAGCTAGATAAATGAAAGTGATAGAATTTTGTAAGGTCTTAAAAGTTATGAATTACTGCCAGTAGAAATGTTTGATGAAAAGTTTGTCAAGGAAACAATAAGCACAGTGCCCAATAGATTTTTGTGTTTATAATACTGTATAGGGGTTTAAATTGATGAGTCCTCCTAATATTACATATTTAAGTACAGTAATTATTAGATGTTTTAATTGCCTGTATGTTAGCTTGGCGAGTTAATGCTAGGCATTTACATACGTAGGTATAAAGCTAGACGTCGCATTCTGGACTTTATCACAAAAACTGGTTTTTAGAAGAAAAAAATTATCTTATGTCACTTATGGAGGTTCTAAGATAGCTTTTGAACATAGAGAATGAAAGTGAACTGTGTTTTTTTTTAATAGTTCTGTATTGAATATTAGTAAATAGGAAGTTAATTTTTTCTTCATATTTCTCCTCAGGTGGATGAAGCTCTGAGGATCAAAAATGTTGACATTGCCAAAGAATTGAATTTGCCTCCTGTCAAGCTACACTGTTCTAGTAAGTTTCTATACAGTACAGGTTGTCCCTCTCTAGTCCGGCAACCTCGGGACCTGACCGGTGCCGGACCATGGAAATTCACCCTTTTCCTGGATAGATAGTGACTTTTGCTTATGCTTGGAAGCACTAGCACCACTTTCTCTGCTTCATGGTCTCTTTGAAGACATATTGAAGGGTTAAATGTCGTACAGTAGCTTCTCAAATTTCGCGAGTTTTTAATTCAACGTTTTTTATTTGAACACACCAAAAAACAAAACAATTAAAAATTTGACGGCGGAAATTCGAATTTCGACGTGTTTGAACGGCCCACCAACGTTCAGACGACGTGCACAATCATGTAAACAGCGTCATTTCTCTTATGTACAAAAGATTCATTATTGTTTATTACTGAATGTCTTTTTGATTGATTTAATGTTTGTGTGTGCAAAATGGGCAATACAATTCATTAATAATACGTAGAATATTAAAACACACAAGGAAATGAGACAGCATTGTTTTCATTGATTACAAAATCAGTGACTGACTGGTTCTACATATAAAACTGAAGAAAATAAGACCTTGGTTGTAGCTGTAGTAAAATTAATGTAAAAAAAGTAATATGCTTATTTGAAGTAATGTTATTTAATGTAATAAATGGAACAATATACTGTAAGTAGCTAACCATTAACGGTAAAGAAAAAAAA